CACACTCACCGGACCTGGGCTAGGACTGGGTCTGGGGGTTCCCGGAACTGGGCAGAAATTCCTACTCGGCGGGCGGGGTGCGGGAGGTACGGTGGAGTGATGGGCGGTGGCCCGAGGGGGTGGGAGAGGGTCCGGCCCACGCTGCACCTGGGCTGGGACTGGTCCCACCGGCGCAGGGTAGCAGGAAGCTCTCAACACACTCACCGGACCTAGGCTAGGACTGGGTCTCTTTATCAATACTTCTTTATTTATAATATTTCCAATAAGTATATATCTTTCTATAATCAGAAAAAGTAAAGATGTTACTACTAAAATAAATACACAGTTACTTGAAATCATGAAGTTCACAGAATGAAGAATTTTTCACCATGCCATGTGGTGGGTGCTGTGAGGGCAGAGCCTGCCTGTGCTCCTGTCTAGGGCCTGTGGGTTAGTATGGGAGCAGCGTTGCCAGGGCCCCAGGGGATGCCTGGAGCCATTCTGGAGCACAGAATCATTTGAGAAACTGCTTTTCTGGAAAAGAATGCCCCAGAGGCCTCTCTGGTTTTCCAGTCACAGGAATGGTATGCACATGCCTGACCCTTTCTGGCGCAAACATGGGCAGCCTTGGGAAAGCTTCGCAGCATGTGCCACACTTTGCTGCTCTGACCCAGGGACAATGAGGCATTTGTCTGACCCCTTTAGAGCCACGCTGAGGTCACACTGTAGCAAAGCCCTGAGTCCTCTCAGTCCCCTTAAATCAGCAAGATCAGCCACCCTGACTCACCACCTCCAACAGGACGTCACTCTGAAGACACGTGAGAGGAGCTCTGAACGCTTGCTGGGTCTGCACCCACACAGGGCTGTGCCCTCAGCCTGATGTTGGGACACAGCTGAGTCCACTTGGTGTCCGTAAGAACACAGAGTCCCCAGTGAGCCCCAGGGAGGCTCCTAGGAGGTGCCCTGGACTCTTCCAGAAGCTTGGGACACAGGATAAGGAAAATGCCAGGGAATCCTATGTGGTTTGGGTGGCCTTGAATTCACTATGTAGCCTCATCTGGCCTTGAACTGGCAGAAGTCCTTGTTCCTCAGCCTCCTGAGTGCTGAGATTACAGGTGTGCACCACCATGCCCAACGCGCGTCTTATACTTGTATCTACCATGAAGGAACTGCATGAAGTGCCAAGCGCAGTGCCTGCCGCTTAGTAGTAGATTAAGAAGGCCTAGCTCTCACATAACTCTCACTGCCATTCTAATGAATGTCATTACCCCTCAGAGTCATTTGAAGACCTAGGGGCCCTGGGTCCCGACGGTCTTCACTTATCTCACTTTTCCAGTGAGGAAAAAAAGGCTGACAGAGATGTGGCTGATTCAAGAAGGAAAGATAGGTCAGGACAGTAAGATTGGCAGGAAGGAAACTCACCTGACAGCCCTTAGTATAGCATGCTGTCTTTGCTCTCTCATCGGGGATGGGTAGTATTTCAGAATCAGTAGAAATGTGGAGAGATGTGAGAAGCAAATCAGTAAGTACATGAAAAGGAGGGAGGGGAATTTGCATTTTTAAGAAGTCACAATGTTAACTTTTTTATAAAGAGCTCCAAATAATTTTACATCTTCCATGATAGTCCTATGAGAGGAGGTGGGAACGTTACAGAAGAGGGAAACGAGGCACAGGGACCAGGCCAGGGTCATGCAGCTCTTTCGGACATTCTTTGATGTGAACATGGAAGGCAAAGATTCCATGTGTCTTGGCCTCTTGTACGCCCAGCATGTGGTACATGCTCAGTAAATATTTGTACATTAGCTAAATGGGTTTCAGAAGCTCTCCTGTCAGGCCCTTGGTGTGACTTTTCTGACTAGCAAAATTACCCATTAGATCTTGGTTCTTATATACTTCAGTACTGAAATTAATGCATTTATTAAACAATGGATAATATTAGACTGGGGTTGAGGGCCTGTGAAGAGTTGTCATGATCTCATGAGAGGTCAAGAGGATTCTGCAGAAATAGCCAGCTGACAAGGTAGCAGAAAAGATTTAGATAGAAACTGGCAAGCATAGGTAACAGCTTAGTGAAGCCCTGGGAACTCTTTCTGGAAAAGTTTCTAAAAACATCGCCTTGTCATCTGTCTTCCTGCTTTAATCCATTTGGCTGGCCAGCTGGGGTTGGAGGCTTCCCATACAGGTCAGGTGAGGACAGAGATGTGCCGTCTACTCTATTCATATTAAATATTGCTCACTGTTAAGAGCATAAATATAATAATTTGTGTTTGGAGTTTTAAACACATTGAACAGAAATGTATGGTTTACCAAAAAGCCTTACGGGTCACTTTGCCTTCTTCTCTGGTAGGATTTATTCCATCAGCACAGCCCCAATCCCTAGCTGTTGCTCTAGATAATTTTCCAGCCCTTTTCCTAACTTTGGACTTCCCTGGTTCTAATGAAAGTGTTCAAATACCTCTCACCTTGCAACCAGCTCTTTTAAATCACATTTAAAATTTGTGATCACTGGAAAACACGAGGGAAGTGCAAGCTGCAGGATGTAATCAGCTGGAATGAAATCATTCTTTCCATGTGAAGCATCCTGGCTCCCACTCAGACAGGGCCCAGCACCCTGAGACACTGAGATTTTCTGTCTGTGCCGCCATGCTGAGGTCAGAACTCCTCCTGGCCCATCATCTCTTACATCATGTTCTTTAAAGAAATTGCATCCTCGAGTTAAAGGACATATCTGAAATGTGAATATCCTCAGCTTTTGAGTGTCCAGATAATAATCGCTTTATTTCCTCTTGCTGATGCAGATGAAGAGACTGAAAAATGAGCCGGCCTTGCATGAGAGATACTGTGCTTTCACAGGCAGTGTCTAATCTGCTTTTCATCCTCTAACAGGGCGGGTCTTGGTGGTTCTTGGCCCAGATCAGAGCCTGGAAGCTGGGAGCAGGCGTGTTTAGGGGGTCTCACTCCCACTTCCTCTGCCTTTCCTGTTCTCACCCAGTCTCAAGAAACATCTGAATCACGGCCCTGGAATTCTAGAGAAAGTGCCCCAGACCAGAAAACCACGGCTTATTCCTTTCTTGCTTTTGGTATTCAGCTGTACGACCTCAGACACGATACTGCTTGGCATGCAGCGTTCTTGAGCTGTGAAGCTAGACCTGGGTTGGAGTCATCATTCTGCTGCTGATTGTTGAGAGCAAATGAGCCACCAGTGTAGCCTCTCTAAAGCTTAGGGTTTCTTTCTGTAAACTTAGTACAACATTGTCTGTTGCAGAGCTGCATGAGTAATACAGAGAGAGCAACGCCGAGGCGAGGTGGCATGGTGTTAGGGTCCACTGCCTTCAGGTTGGACACGTTGCAGAGAGGGGTCTGGGGGGCCCCTGTGCTCTGTGCAGATAACAGTCAGACCTGGCTAGGGCGGTCCACCGTGCAGGCCACTGTGAGGATCCGTGTGTTATTTCTCCCTCTCCAGAAACATGGAAGTGGCCAGCAAGCTGGCATGCCAGAACACACTGCTCCGGCCCTCATGGAGCTGGTACGGGAGAAGGAAGAGCGGATCCTGGCCCTGGAGGCTGACATGACTAAGTGGGAGCAGAAGTGCCTGGAGGAGAGCACCATCCGGCACTTCGCCGTGAGCGCTGCCGCCACGGCCGCAGCTGAGAGGTGAGATGGAGAAGCAAGCCTGGAACGAGGACCAGCGTGAAGCGCCTGGGCCCGGAGAGGCTCAGACCATCCCTGGGGCAGGGTCGGCTGAAGACGGTGTTTAAGGGCTGCCTCGCTAGTTGAGTGATATAACAGTCCTAGAGGATAACTTAACTATAGGTGCTCTCCCTTTGCTTCCAGAATTTTAGTTCTGCATTTGTCTTATGGAAGGCAGCATGAGAGGCTGAAGAGTTACGTCCGACGATGGTCAGTCAGAGTTGTTTAAAATACCAGAACTTTTAAAACAGCTTGGAGTCCAAAAAGAGGAAACTCATTTAGCAAAGTACATCTACACAGTGGAATACTGTGTGATCTTTAAAAATGATGTCGGGGAAGAATATTTTAAGATTCTTTTAACACTGAGTCTGTTTCATGGCCTGGACAAGAACAGATAGTGCTCACAGCAGCCCGAGAGCACAGTTTTCCTCTTATCCTCTTTACAAACGAAGAGAACAAGCTTGACAGAGACACAGCGGTTGGTTCCAAACCCTGAGTCCAGCTTCCAAATAGCTGGTAGTTAGCAGTGAGCCATGAGTCAAGGAGTGAGCTGACTTAAAACCAGATTCACTTACTTTGTTCCAGTATCTTTTTTTGGTGAAACAGGGAATGGAACCAGATTCACTTACTTTGAGGTCGTTTTTTGCCACAGTCGGTGTTCGTTTGCCTCCATTGCCCCCCTGTAGGTACACAGCCTTATCCTGCTTGCTTGCTTTTTTTTTTTTTTTCCAGAACCAGGGGTTGAATTCAGGCACTTGCGCTTACCAGGGAAGCGCTTACTTTACTGAGCCATCTCCCTGGCCCCTACGCTTCTTTCAAAATTGGCTCAGTCTGCACCGGAATCCACAAAAGTAGCTCACAAAGGCTGTTCTCTGAAAGGGCAGGGCAGTGGCCTGGTCTTGGACTGAGGAGCCCCAGCGCAGGCGAGGCGAGTGGCAGGCCCAGCCCGTCAAGCCTCTTGCTCCTGTTCACACAGCATGTTTTTTCCCAGAAGTCACATTGTACATTTAATTTAGAGTTGTTTGAAATTTACCAAAGTTTGGAGTCAGTACATTTGGAGGAGATTCTCTAATATCAGTGATATAGAACCTTCAGATTACATAGGGGAAGTAAATATAACTCCCAATCTGGTAGATGTCTGACATGCTGAGTCCATATTCCAATGAAAGAATGAATTCTAAGAAACAATGGCAGTTAAGAGTAGGATTTTTTTTTTCTGTATTTAGTACAGGGTCTACAGGGTCTCACTATGTAGTTTGGACTCATAGTGATTCTTCTGTTTTCAGCCTCCCAAGTGCTGGGATTACGGGCAAGTGCCGCCACGCCCAGTCTCAATCGCTGTCTCAGTGTGCCCGCAGGCAGGGCCTGCACAGCATGCCAGGGTTGAACCCCAGCCACTGAACGAAGAGTAGCAAGTGTTGCTGAGGTCGGGGGTGGGGAGAGACTGGAGGGAACCTGAGTGGGTTGCATGGACCCTCTTCACAGAGGAAGTTTTATAGAGCAAAATCACGACATGGGTACAACATGGGCTAAAGTATGATTAATCAATAATATTATAAGTACAGCCACCTAGGTAATATTGATCCAATGAGAAAGCAGGTCATGTAGCAAGAGTATATGGAAAGAATAAAAAAATTTTCAGGAAAGACTAGGTCTGGAGGTCTTAGTCGCGCACTGAGGTGACTGGTGGGCATCTAGACTTTATTGGGCAGGTGTTACCACCTCTCTTACCCCTTGGGGAGGCAGGTGTGCACACCTGCTCACTGCATCTTTAGCTCGTGCTCTGGTCTCCCACAGGTGTGCCTCTCCCACAGTTGTATTGTGTTTTCATCTTTCAGTAGAATTACTTCTCTAGCCTGAGAAAGAGAGCAAGCATTGTGAAGTTGCAGAGGGGCTGGGCCCAGCACCACATCAGTGTGATTGCCCTGAGCGTTTTCTCCCTGTGTCTGGGCTCAGCCAAGATCACTGTGCAGGGAGCAGACATTTGTGTCCACAGCTTCTCCTTGTGTCGCTGACTGGCATGTGTCTGGAATAAGAATGTCCGCGTGTCACTGACCTCACGTGAAATGGAAATGCCAGCTCTGGACCCCGCCGCGTTCCTAAGGCCCCACTCTGGGTAAATGTGTTCCCTTGGGGGATGATGAAGGACCCTCATGAGTCATCGTTGGTCTGCCTTCTGCTGATTTATCAGATTAGATATCTGCTTGGGGTCCCGGGCCCTGAGTAGGCGAAGAGGACAGAAGTGCATAATCAGGGTTGGGGTGGACAGGGAGGCTGCCCAGGGAGGCTGGGAGGCGAGTAGAACCATGAAGACCCCAAACACAGTCACCAACCCTAGACTCTATCCCCAGCTGTGTCTACCATCCACTAGATAAGAGGAAATGGCTCATATCCCAGAGAGGAAATTCTGTGGGGCCATCCCCGCTGTACTGTTCTCCTTCTGTCCTATTTGGAGTCCTGCATGGATAGATGGACTCTTCTGTTCCTCCCTTTGCCCCCCTTTTTCTCAGGTATATTCATCAAGCATTTGATAACTCTCGAGACGCCTCCATTCCCTTTTTGGCCTATTTCCTCGCACCATCAGAGAGAGGGTGACACTCTGCGTTCAGAGGTGCTCAGCAATGTGGTGCCAACCTTAATAGCATTTCAGAGGAAGCTTCTGAAATCTAAGCATTATGGCCTGGGATTTGGCTCAGAAGTAGAATGCTTGCCTAGCAAGCTGGGAGCCGTGGGCTCGGTCCTTGGCACCAGAAACAAACAAACAAAAAGCCTCCCCTAAAAACAACTCAACCACAAAATACAGTAAAATCAAAAAACAAAAAGAAACAAGGCAGCTGCAATCGAAGCATTGCTTATCTGTTGATAATAAGGGGAGAGGAAGACGAAGCACTTCTTAGCTGATACCTAGATGCAAGGGGCTGCAAGTAAACTGGTGCAGTGACTGTGTCTACCCTTGAGTCCTGTGACTTTAGAGCTGCTGGTACACGTACCATGTTCATAAGAAAAGACCTTTGAACAAAGAATATAATTCTTACATACCAACTGTTTTTTTTTTCATCTCTACATATATTGATGTCATTGATCAGAATTTTTAGAGGTTGAGCTTGCTTTTTTATGTGTGAGGAGGTTTTCAAACTTTTTATAAATTACCACCTAATTGCACAATTATCTATCTAGTTGTGCTGCTATCCTTACTGGACAGTATAATTATAGACTTTTAAATTTGTCTCTGGTTCCATATGATTTTTCAAAAAAAAAAAAACTAGTTGAAAATGTTTTTAGTTACCAATACTGATGGTTTTGTATCCCATATGGTGAACTGATAATCATAAATGTGCTTAAAGCATTTTGTTTGCTTTCTGTATTACTTGAGTTTCCGATGCGTTCTCAGCCACAGACTGCATGTTGTGCAGCATACTCCTACACATGCTCCCTTCTTCACTGTCTTTATCTTTGTGCACCTTTGCTGAGGCCTTCATAAGCACAAATGAAACTTCCAAGGTGCTGAAGGAAGGCTAAGACTTCGGAGTTGGGCATCTTTGAATTTGAATCCCCTTACACCATTCATCAGTGGGTATTCTTGGAAAAGTCACCTAAGCCTCTGAACTGGGCATAGTAATACCTATTGCACACATAAGAGCTAAGTGAGGGGGCCGGGGAGATGGCTCAGTAGAATAGCACTTCCCTGGCAAGCTCAAGGGCCTGAATTCAATCCCCAGTTCCACCAAAAAAAAAAAAAAAAAAAGAACTAGGTGAAAGGAGGGCCGGCCTGATAGCTCAGCGGACTAAACTGCCTGCTCAGGCAGATGCAGCAGCTGGGGCTTGATCCCCGGCGTGCTCAGGCAGATGCAGCAGCTGGGGTTTGATCCCCGGCGTGCCGTGCCAGCCAGGCCCATGGCACATGCTGAGACCGTGAATGAGACTGGGCGTGGTGGCGCGTGCCTATAATCCCAGCACTGTGGAGGCTGAAAACAGGAGAATCACTACACATCTGATCTGTGTATTGAGACTAGTAGACCTTGTAGACCCAGTAGACCCTGTCCTAAATACAGAAGAAAAAAAAAAAAAAGAATTAAGTGAGAGTGTTGAGGTTTACGGTCCTGACAGAGCTCTTGCTTAGCGTGCTCAAGACCCTGGGTTTGTGCTTGAGCACTAAAAGCAAAAAGAAAATGAGAATTACGTGTGAGACCATGTATACTGAGCTGTATCCAATGCACAGGAGTATCCAAGGAGTTATCAAACCCCCATTTTACTATAAAATACCAAAATAGTTTCTGCAGCAGGGCACCGAAGTAGGTCTTATGATTAGAAAACAAAACAGACCAAAAATTAAAAGTCGAAACACCAACAAGTATAATGATGATAAAAGTATTCGTATGCCAGTAGATTAAAACTGTATATTTTAATCTAAATGATATATTTTCAACATATCACATAGCTTAATACGTGATGTTGTTAGTAGAAGAGTCAGGGAATTTTGATTTTTGAATTTTATCTCGTTTTCCTTAGCTACTATCTTAGGTAAGTCAACTTTAAGAAAGCAGTGGCCGGGGCGTAAGACAGGGGCTGAGTAGAGGAGCTCTGGAGCGCGCTTTAGCAGTGTCCCTTGGGTGCGTCTCCATAAGCCTCCGCACCACTATCCACGTCACCATCCAGTGAGGGCGGCTGAGTAGGAAGCGCAGACAGTGGTCTCCTGGAGGGAGGAGGGGCACGGGCAGATCTCCGCTCCAGCACAGTCCTGGCCTCTCCATTCTGAATCCGTTTGCATGGAAACCAAGAAACCTTCCTGCAATCAGTGCCTGTCCTGTGTTTCCAGGGACACCACCGTCATCAACCACTCCAGGAATGGGAGCTACGGGGAGAGCTCGCTGGAGGCCCACATCTGGCAGGAGGAGGAGGAGGTGGTGCAGGCCAACAGGAGGTGTCAGGACATGGAGTACACGTAAGTGACGGTGCCACTGTGACAGCTGGTGTCCATGTGCTGGTAGGGCCCCCGCTATGCTCACACAATGGCCCTGTGAGGGACAGTTGTTTCTCTGTCCTGGCCAAGGACTGAGCTCTACGACTCCTCACACTGCCCTAGGAAGGGAAAGGTTCTCGGCTGAGCCTGCGGTTTCACTCAGCTGAGGGCCAGCGTTGCAGCTCCTGGGGATCACTGCAGGTCAGTGTAGGCTTTGAGAGCAGGCGGAATCTGACGACAGGAGATCTAGATGCCCGCAGCAATTGTGGGCATCTGTCTCTCACCTTCTAAGCCTTGTAAATGGAAAAAGAAAACCATCATATCCCAAAGACCCAGAGAGTTCTAGCCAGAGTCTGTGTTCCGGCCAGAGAGAAGCTTGCTTAGCCAGTGCACTCTTCTGATGGCCTGTGCACGACTTCCAGCAGACTTGTGACGTCATAAGACAAGGCTTGCTGCTGACCTCCTGAGGCTGTGGAGCCCTGGGAGCCCTGAGCCTCCTAGGTGCGCAGGTGTGAGACGGGGCTACCTAGTGAAGCCATTCGCGCTGCTGTGAGAGCCTGAAAAGAACACATTTGCTCATTCTCACTTTTGACCATCTGTGGGGGATAATCTTCCAGAGAACCTGTCCATCTCTTCATTTTTCCTTCAGAAAACGGAGAAATGGAGTCAGGTGGTGGCTTACCCTGTTTGTCAAGCCTCACGGCTCCTGCACTCTCTTCTCTCTCCTTCCCCAGTGCTGGACTGGCTCAGCGTGGGACCCTGAGCAGCCTGGAGCAAGAGGTCCTTAGTGGTAGCCACGGTCCTTCTTACTACCTCCCTAAAGTCCCAGAATCTCCTGAGGTGCCCGCGAAGACACACCTTATACAGTTTGGAGACTGTGCTGCCGCCCCACCCGCATTCACCGAATGAAATTTCTCCTGAGAGAAGTGCTTCAAGTTTGTCTAACCAAATAGCTTTTTATGGGTCTGTTTTGTTCTGTTTTACAGTATTAAAAATCTACATGCCAAAATCATAGAGAAGGATGCCATGATTAAGGTGCTGCAGCAGCGAGCCCGTAAAGATGCTGGCAGGGCGGATTCCTCAAGCCTGCGGCCAGCACGCTCTGTCCCGTCCATCGCAGCGGCCGCTGGGACTCACTCCCGCCAGACCTCACTTACCAGCAGCCAGCTGGCTGAGGAGAAGAAGGAAGAGAAGACCTGGAAGGGCAGCATCGGTGAGCCGCGCTCCTCCTGCAGGCTGGGCTCTGGAGAGCGAAGCCACAGGGCAGAAGAGGCAGCCTCCCTGCCACACGTAGCACTCAGTAGCTCCTGGCCTTGGTTTACCCATGTGTGAAATGGGTGCACAAATCATGCTGTGGCTGTGGAGCTTAGCGGGACGCGGGGAAGCCCTACAGGTCTCTGCCAACAGAGCGTGGCTGGCTCGTGTCACCACTGCTGCCGACGCTGTCAGAATTCGAGGTAGTGAAGTGTCCTGATAGACATGCTTCTGTGTCAGACTGCCCTAAAGTAGTGGTACGGCTGCTTGGCCTCCACCTCCACACCTAGGAACGGGACTGTGGCTGCCCCACTTTCCCCAGGGCGTTAGGCCAGGTGAGATCGGGAGGGAAATACATGGGAAGAAACTGCGTGGAAGGGGCGGTTGGTGGTAGGCTTCACCGTACTGCTTCCCAGCAGAGTTTTGAGAATTTCTCACCCATGGTCTTTCTTCATCAGGGTGGGTTTTGGCGCTTAGTGAGCTGGACCGGAAGGAACCAGCAGTGTCTACACACACAGGCACACGTGTCCTCCGCGCCTCCCGTGCACTCGGCCAGCTCCAGGAGTCTGGCCTTTGATGCATGTCCCTGGCGCACCGTTTTGCTTCTTCACTGAGCCCAGAGCCAGGCTTCCCCAGCATGGGAGCTCAGAGAAGCCTGGAGGCTTTGTGCCAGCAGGCCGAGAGCTACTGTGTGACAGGCAGAGCTAGGGATCAAAGGCTCCAGCCAGAATCTCTGCATGAAGCTCCTCTGCCCTCAAAGGAAATGCACTTCAAAGAGGATGCATGTGGACAGCAGCTGGGAACATCAAAGCCCCTCCCCGGACACTAGCCTCCAGCCTAGGTAGAAGACAAGTGTACAAAATATGCTGGCTCTGAAGGGAGCCTCCCTGGGAGAAGCCTGTTTGTGACAAGCCTTGGAGCAGCCCTGCCTGGAGTCTGCCTATGCCCTAGAACTTAGCAGTTCTAAACCAGACCTAGGAACTGTGGACTTGGCCTGAATGAGGAGGTGCTATGTTGTCTACACCTTCATTCCCCTTGTCATTGTAGTTGGTATTCACATGTCAGAAAAGCAGTACAGGACCCTGAAGAGCAGGCAGGATGCTGAGGAGCAGGCAGGACACTGAGGATGCAGGCAGG